TAAAATAAAGCAATAAATGATGAGATTAAGAATCTGGAGAGGAGGGGATTATTCTCGATTAGTAGTGTGAGCATTAGAAACAGAAAGGCCTCCAGAAGAGGCAGGCCAGAGGGTGGTGGGCCAACGGATTTCACAATGGCTGCCGCCACCTTGGAGAGGAGCACCCAGGAAAACAGGAGCCTTTAGCAGCTAGACACAGCTGGAAAAGGCGTTCCTTCCTTGAGGGCTCCTAGCAGGAATGCAGCCTGATGTGTTGCCACTATTTCAGCTCCAAGTCAGACCTCCGGGACGGAAGAAAACAACTCTATGATGTATAGCAGTGCTGCACAGGTGTGTTAGCACATCAGCCCATGCTTCTCAGTGTCTCAGAGCAACAGTAGCAAACGCTGTTGTGCAGTTGCATTGAGAGATTGCCGCCATCGCCTGGAACTGTGGCAGGTGCTTGCAGCCAGAGCTCCAGGGAGCGACATAACCCCCTGTCTTCCCCGGCTTGAAAAAACATAATCACAGCACAGAACTTTTGTGGGTTCTAGCCCACAGGCCATGCATGTCCTTCTCACCACCTGGTTTTGCAAGGTCTATAAACTGACTGGTCTTTCCTATTTATTTATTTATTTGTATCAGAAAGTCAAATATACAGAAAGGAGGAGAGACAGAGAAGAAGATTTTTCGTCTGTTGATTCATTGCCCAAGTGGCCACAATGGCCGGAGCTGAGTTCATCCAAAGCTAGGAGCCAGGAATTTCTTCCAGGTCTCCTACATGGATGCAGGATCCCAAGGCTTTGGGCCATCCTCTACTGCTTTTCCAGGCCACAAACAGGGAGCAAGATGGGAAGCAGAGCAGCTGGGACAAGAGATGGTGTCCATATGGGATCCTGTAGCGTGCAAGACAAGAACTTTAGCCAAGGACTAGAATTGCACTGGTCCCAGTCTTTTCTTTTTAAATGGAGTTAGACAGAAGTCAAAGGAAGAATACTGCTGTGTTGCCTCAAGTTGTAGCATCTATCACACAGGTGCGATTGGGTCACATCTTGTGTATTTGTGTGGTAGCTGGCCCTGCTTGATGCCTGGCAGTCGATGGAGTATCTGTGGCAGGGCCCTGTGCTCTGTATAGGCTGACGGTCAACATGTGGTCTTCGCATGGGGAGCCTGCCAGCCTTTGTCTCCTGGCTCTAAGCATGTGATCAGCACCGGCCATCTGCTGATGAGTGATTCATTTTCATCAATATTCAAGAATATTTAGCTTTCAGCCATCTTAATGTTTAACACCTTCATTAGTAGAGTTAAGGCTTTGGGGCTGCTTCTCAAAAAGGATTCTTCCAGGGCCTGGCACAATGACTCAGTGGCTAAATCCTCAGTTATAAGCACTGGGATCCCAAATGGGTGCTGGTTCAGTTCCAGCTAGAAAAACAGTTGCGGACGGCCCAAGACCTTGGGACCCTGGACTCGGGTGGGAGACCCAAAGGAAGCTCCTGGCTCTGGATTGGCTCAGCTTCACCTGTTGCAGTCATTTGGGGAGTGAACCAGTGGACAGAAGAGGTTTCTGTAAATCTGATCTGTCTCTGATTCTTCCTTTTAAAGAATTTAAAAAATTATTTAGGAATTTTAAAAAGATTTATTTATTTAAAATTCAAGGTTTTTGGAGGGGAGAGGGAACAGGGAGTAAAAGTGAACAACCGAGAGAGAGGGAAATCTTCCATCTGCCGGTTCACTCCCCAGATGGCCATAATGGCTGGGTCTGGGCCATGCTGAAACCAGGAACCAGAAGCTTCTTTTGGGCCTCGCACATGGGTGACAGGGACCCAAGCACGTGGACTGTCTTCAGGAATTTTCTCAGGTGCAAGGGCAGGGAGTTGGACTGCCAGTGGAGCAGCCAGCGCTCCAGTATGAGATGCTGATGTTGCGGGTGGTGGCTTAAGCTGCTGTGCCACAGTGCCATCTCCCACCCCCAGGATTCCTTACAGCCATCGAGTTGGGAACATTTGACATCACAGCTTCTTCATGCCCCTGATGAGCGAAAGGCTGAAGTAGGGAGCGATCTTGCTGCCTGCTTGGAGTGAGACCGAGGCAGGAAGGCAGCTGCAGCCCAGCCCTTGCCGTTGGCACGTGGAGTGTTGTGTCAGCAGGGCCACACTGGGGCCTCCGGGCTGTCTGCTCCATCCAGCAGTCTGGATGGGGCTGTGATGGTGTGTAGTAGGTGGCATGATCAGGTACGGTCAGTTTGAATCAGAGAGCCATCCTTGATGTGGGCAGGCCTCTGCCAGGCAATTGAAGATCTTTGGAGCCAGGCTTGTGGTTTCTGAGGACAAAGGCATTCTGCTCCTCACTTGTGACTTGCTGGTGGGCCAGGTTGCCTGCGCCAGCTGCTTCAGGTCACAGACACCCACTCTCTGTTTCGCTCTTGGATAGAGGCACCTGTTTCTCTCTGTTGTGTTTCTTGGCTGAGCCCTGCTTGCTGTGGCAGGTGCTTCAGCTGGGTGGTAGCGGGGAGGGAGGGTCCTCTCCATCGTTTGGAACCAAGCTGCAGTGGGCATGCTCAGTGTGTCCTTCTCACCTTGTGCAGGTGAGGCTCAGCCTGGGGCCTCTTCTTTGCACCTCCTTCAGCTGCCTGTGTCGACCCCGAGAGGAACTGTTCTATATTTGGATGTACCCAAGCCAGAAATAAGCTCACTTGTGAAACAGCAGGGGCCTGTTTCTCAGGGAAGCTTGTGAGCTGTAACTGAGGCGGATCAGAAATGAAGCAGTCAGATCAGAAATGAGGAGGGGCTGTGGAGCAAGTGGGGCACTGGGCACACTTCTGAGGGGCAGAATTTGTGTGGAACCCGTCCCCCACAGCAGAAAACCAAGCTTCTGTGTGTGCCCTCTGAGCTGACAGCACCAGGGCCATCTGTGGCTGGGAATGTGGTTCTGTCCTGGAAGGATGCCCACTGTCATTTTTAGGTTCAAACTAGGTTGCAAATATTTCTGATAAAAATAGAGAAAAGTGGGGCCAGTGCAGTGGCACAGTGGGCTAATCCTCCACCTGCAGCACCAGCATTCTGTGTGGACGCTAGTTTGTTTTCTGGCTGCTCCAGTTCTGATCCAGTTCACTGCTTATGGCTGGGGAAAGCAGTGGAGTATGGTCCAAGTTTTTGGGACCCTGCACCCATGTGGGAGACCTGGAAGTTGTTCCTGGCTGCTGGCTTCAGATCGGCTCAGCTCTGGCCCATGAAGCTGTTTGGAGAGTGAACCAGCAGGTGGAAGATATCTCTCTCTCTTTGTAACTCTGCTTTTCAAATAAATAAAATAGTGCTCACTTCAGCAGTACATATACTAAAATTGAAACAATACAGAGAAGATTAGCATGGGCCCTGAGCAAGGATGACACACAAATAAATAAAATAGATCTATTTAAAATATACATATGATAGAGGAATAGAGAAAGAGATCTCCCATTTGCTGGTACTCCCTAGAAGGCTACAATGGCTGGGACAGGGACAGGCCAGAGACAGGAACCAGGAGCCAGAGCCAGGAGCCAGGAACCAGGAGTCAGGAGCCAGAACCAGGAGCCAGGAGCCAGAATCAGGAGCCAGGAGCCAGAGTCAGGAGCTAGAGCCAGGAGCTAGGAGCCAGGAGCCAAGAACCAGGAGAGGAGAGCCAGAATCAGGAGCCAGAGCCAGTAGCCAGAATCAGGAGCTAGAGCCAGGAGCCAGGAGCTTCTCCCATCCCTGCTGCTTTCCCAGGTGCATTAGCAGGGAACCGGATCAGACCTGGAGGTGCCAGGACTCCAACTGATGTCCATACAGGGTGTGCTTCACAGATGGTGGCTTTACTCACTATGTCACAATGTCGCCCCTCTTTGTTATTTTAAAGGAGAAATTTTGAGTTTTATAGGTCAACCAGTAGCCATTTAGGTTCTACTTCTACAGCTGGTGTTGTTTTACAAACACATACATACATAAAACAATTGAACTATAACTTCTTCTTGCTCAGGATGCCATTTCATTCTAAGAAACATCTTTGCATTCTTTTCATCATGCTAAAAGTCCTCTCTCGATATCCTTTCTTTATGAAGTTCTATTTATTTGTAAAACAAAGTGACAGAGACAGAGCTACTCCGTCCGCACGTTCACTCCCCGGATGCCCCCAGCAGCTGGGGCTGGGCCAGCCTGACACTAGGAGCTTGGAACGCGTGCCGGGTGTCCTGCTCGGGCGTAGGGACCCAAGGACTTGCACAGCCATCACTGCCGTCTCCCAGGCTGTGTCAGTAGGGAGCTGGAAGCAGAAGGGGAGCTGAAACTTTAACCCGGGCTCGTTGATGTGCAAGGCAGGTGCCGCGACCACTGAGTCCCTTTGTAGGAATCCTCTTCTTATCTGTTACACTAAATAGACATCTAGAACATTAGTTTCTGTACATAATTTTTCTTTGAGTTTTTATGTGTATGTGTGTGACTGACTCAGGATTTTTGAGTATTTTTCCAGGTCATCACCTGTGATAGGTTCCTAGGAGATAGAAAGGAGGAAGAGTGTGGGCCCTTCTTCCCTAGTTCTCCCAGTCTCCAGGAGAGGCGGACTTGGAACATGAGTGTGACATCGGGAACAGGGGGTCTGGAACTGGACTGGGACCCTGGGGCCAGGGAACCAACATTCAGGGAGCGGAGACTGCGCAGAGAAGTGTGGGATGCCCTGGTTTTCAGGGGGCTGGTCATGGCTGGCTGCAGGGAGGGATGTCTGTGACAGAATGAGATGTGGCAGTGCTCAGGACTTCTGCACACAATGTGGCTTCCACAACTGGAGGAGCACGCGTTCAAGACTTGGGAAGCCCTGCACCCTTCGAGGCTCTGTGAGGGCTGGGTGGACCGCTGTGACTTCTGCCAGAGCCTGATTTGTTCAAGCAGCCCTGTGCACTGGGTGTGTTCCAGCGTTGAGTATCAGCAGTTACAGATGAGCTGCGCAGCGCTGCACCCCTGGCCGATCCTGATGGCCTCTCACCGTCTGCTTCCTCCTTCTCCCCCCTGCAGTTGGTCAGCTTGCTGTTGATCGGCATCGCTGCCTGGGGCATCGGCTTCGGACTGATCTCCAGCCTGCGAGTGGTTGGCGTGGTCATCGCCGTGGGCATCTTCCTGTTCCTGATTGCGCTGGTGGGCCTGATCGGAGCTGTGAAACACCACCAGGTGTTGCTGTTTTTTGTATCCTTTTGGCATCGAGGACCTTTGTTCCCTCTTCCCAGCTGGAGTCTTACTTAATAACTGTCTTTATACAGATGGCTGATTTGAGGTAACGATTTAAAAAAATAACAAAAGCCAACTCCTAATATTCAGAACATTTTGTGCCGTCACGGGATGGCATATTTGCACATTCCCGCTTTGTCACGTCCTGAAGTCCTCGGCACATTCAGCGTAGCCATCCTGTTCATGAACGGCAGATAGGAATGAAAACATTCCATGGACACCTGTGGCCTTTCCCACTTGCTAATATTTGAGTCGAGAATTTCCTATTGTTGTTTTTGATTTACTAGGAAGAATGCTTACAAATATTTATCCTTACTGCCTGTTTCTATGTGTGTGAGTTTTATTCTTGGTGTGTCAGTTCTTTAATTAGCATTATTAGTATTTTCCTTTATGGCCTTGCACACTGTCACTGGAATAATTACATGTGTGCTTGTGGGTGTTCTCCAAGTGCCGTCTGTTGCATTTTTGCAACGATTTGCTTCTGGGGCATGCAAACATGTTAATACTTCTGTACTGTTTTACAAGCGTTGAGAAACACCCTTGACTTGTAACCCTCAGTATATGATTATTCTCTTACTTGTATTTATTGTTCAGTTTTCTGTGTCTTGCGCATGTTTGGCCCTGAACCAGGAGCAGCAGGTGAGCGACACTCCCCCCGCCCCCTTCTTTACTGCACTGCCTGGGAACATGGGTGAAAACCGGGTGGGAGAATGGGTGGAATACCGAACAATTTCTTCTTACCCAGCATGCAGTGGCAGCAGGCAGAGCTGATCCCTCTCGGGTCTGGATGCATTTATGTAGCTGCTGGAAGCTGAAGACCCCCATGTGTGCTGGGTGTTTTTTGTGTTTCTTGAGTAAGATTTAGTTCTCGATGGGTAAAGAGCGCTGCTGTTGAAAGCCGATTGCCCAGGCCTTTCCCACTCTCAGGCCGTGAGCCATTTGCTGCACATTCCAGCAGTCACTTTCCTCCAGAAGGTCTTGTTGCCCCCTGAGAATTATGCCTTTGAGCTGGGTACTGCTTTTCAAGCACCCGTCAACCTAAGACCCTTTCATTTCGGGGATAGAAAACAGTTCTTTAAAACTGTTGAAGGTGGAGGATTGTCAGATGTGTCAAGCCTTGCTGGCTTTATCAGGAGTGTATCCTACCACCAGTGATGGGCTGTGGCCACGTGTGTTCTGCACACACGGCCTGCGTTTGTGTACACGGCCTATGCGTTTTTTTAGCGCCAGCTCCTGGAGGTTGGTTGGAACAACACAGCTAGTGCTCGCAATGACATCCAGAGGAACCTGAACTGCTGTGGGTTCCGAAGTTTCAACCCCAACGACACCTGTCTGGCGGTGAGTCCCAAGGAGGAAACAGGTGGGCGTGGGTGGTCTGATGCTGAGTTGTGAGACTGTTTCAGATCCACTCACGTTTCTGCATCTGCTGCCGTGTGTCTGCCTGTTCTCAGATGTCCACTCCCGAGGGCGCTGAAGGACGGCTATTTGGCAGGCCATGGTACGCCTGGCCTTCAGGATTGACTTAGCCATTATTTCTTGGCCAAGTCCTATTTTTGCTAGTGAAAGGCTGCATGTTAAGAAGTTACTGCAGCAGGACGAAGAGAGGGCAGGTCCGCTCCCTAACACTGATCACCCCAGAGCCCTGTGGCGTGTGGATTCTTGGCTTTCATGCTTCTCCTTCCTTTCCATTGTCCCTAGAATAAGTTGTGGAAAGAGAAATACCAAGGCTCAATTCCAACGTGTTTCTGTTTTGGGCCAACTCCTTTTAGCACCTCCCTGGGCTCCAATTGTCTCCTCTCTGAGCCTGTCTTGCAGGGTTGTCTTATCCCAAGAGTCTGTACCACTTTCCTCTGGCTGTCGGGGATGCTTGGTCACAAATGTAGCAGTTGTGACAACAGCCTCTACTATCTCACCATTTGCACAGGCAGGCCAGCAGTCTGTCAGCTGTGGCTTAGCTGTGCCCTCCGCCCAGGCTTCCACTGGGGCTGCTGTTTCCCTGAGGCTTGGGGTCTGCCCCCACCATGCCCCCTGGGGATTGGGAGAATCTGGTTCCTTGTGCTTGGAGGATGGATGGCCCTGTTTGCAAGGTCTGACTTGGCGGCTTTTTCATAACATGACAGCGGCCGAGTCAACGTGAGAATCCCTGGAGATGCAGTCTTGGGTGATATGCTACTGGTATGGAACTGTCCAGGCCACTCGGGAACAGGTTCCCTCCTTACTCAAGGGTCGGGTCATCCAGGGCAAGTACACAAAGGAGCAGCAGTCTTGGGGGGCTGACTTTAAAACTGGCATAGTGCAAACCCAAGGCCTCCTTGTGACATTGGAGCTCCTTGTGACATCCGGGACACTGAGTGTGTGTGTGTGTGTGTGTGTGTGCGCGCATACGCACATGTGCAGGTGCAGCACACCATTGGCAGAGCTGTTGTGACGTGGGTGTTTTCTGTTGTGACAGAGCTGTGTGAAGAGCAGCCAGCCCTGCCCTCCGTGTGCTCCTATCATCGGAAGATACGCAGGGGAGGTCCTGAGGTTCGTGGGGGGCATCGGCCTCTTCTTCAGCTTTACAGAGGTGGGTGTCTGCACTGTGTGGCTGGACGGTGCCATGGTGTGACCCAGGGACCCACGGATGTCTTCACTGAGGGTGGGGGGAGAAGGGGAGCCCTGACATGGGATTGGCCCCCAGGAATCTACACCAGGACTGGGTGAATGATTGCTGTTTTTTTGCCTGTGCAAAGTGTAAAAACCAGAGAAAGTGATATTGGGCTGGATTCTTCTGCTACTTCCTCAGGCGTATGAGCAAGGAGCTTGATCGGAAGTGTAGCAGCCAGGACTCAAACCGGCACCCATAGGGGACCCAGCATTGCAGGCAGAAACTTAAACCACTGCACCACAATGTATATGTCATGTATCTTATTACAATGGCATCCTTTCTCTCCTTGAAGAGTTAATACTCCATGTTGGACTTTTATTAACAAAGTAAGGGGGAAAAGGAAGCATAATACACACTCACTTTTATAAGAAATTTCCTTGACAAAATCACCTTCCAACTTGTGCCTTGGTTGTGAGAATGAGTCAGAGAAATTCACACACAGCTGGAAAAGAAATCTGCTCATTCTGTTAAAGAATGAATTTTTGTTTTAAAACCTTAAAAACACAGGTGGGAAGAAGGTGGAATGTGAAAGGTGTTTGTACACATTAAAGCGGATCCAACACTTAGCGACATTTTGCCACACGGGTTTTGTTGTAAAGATCTGGAATTCACGTTGAGAATTCGGTGTTTCTGAATAGCCCTGTTTTCTCATCAGCTCATTCTGCCTTTGCTTATGCTCTTCTTCAGAAACACCAGTTCTTTACGAGTGTAAGTCTGCGGGTCAGAGAAAGGGAAGCCCCTCCATGAGTTCACCCCCACCAAATGTGTGTAACGGTGGGAAGCTGACAGCTCCAGCCAAGTCCCCCATGTGGGTGACAGGGACCCAGCCGCTTGAGCCATCACTTCTGCCTCCTCTGGTCTGTACGAGGAAAAAGCTGGAGTCGGGAACTTCTGCTGGGTGTCTTGGCCAGACTCTCTGATGTGTAAGGGACAGGTGTCTTAATTAGCATTTTACCTGGTGGGCTAAACGTGCGCCCATGTCTCAGATTTCCAAGGTGTTCTTTCGGGGAATCCTGGTCTCTGTTTTACATACTATCCTCTCTGAAAACCTAGCTAGAGAGTTTAATGGTACCGCCCCCAAATTCTCATTTTCTGGGTGGCAGATACTTTGTCCAAGGAGACATCAGAAGGTTTATAGAAAACACTTTGAGTTACAGATAAGTTTATATCGGTGCAAAATTTGAAATCCATGAAATAGTCTTTCATACTGTGTATTTCTGGGAAATTTCTGAAGACACCAGATCCAAGTACATTGTAGAAATTCAGTTGAGAAAAGTTAAGAAAAAGTCATGACAATGAAAGTTGGATGCCTGTATTAAGAAAAAAAAAATCACCTAGTTAGCAATGATCATTTTTATTTTGACATGCCTGCCTCCTCTGGGCTCTTCAGTTAGTGAAGTGAGTGCCTGCTTCTGTCGTAGGCATTTGGAGAATAAACCTGAAGGTGTGTGTCTCTCCCTCCCTCCTCCCTTTTTCTATTTCTCAAGTTAATAAATAAAAGTTTTTATAAAAGTTTTATAAAAGGCATTTTACCCCCTTGGCAAAATAAATGTGATAGCATTTGTATGTGTGTATGTGTGTGTGTGATCTATGTTGGGACATTTTTCTATGTGTAAGATTTCCGGTTACTTCGTTTTTACAGAACTCGGGGTTATAAATGCGCATGGTGTTTCAGCTTGCCTGTTCCTCCGTGCTCCTCTTAGTCGTCTGTTGCTGCGGAAACAGCACAGGCCTGGCTGCCTGGAATAGCACACATCTCTTGTCTTTTCCAGCTGGAAATCGGGAGTTGGCAAACAGCGACTCCTTCTGGGGGCAGCGTGAGGCCACCCTGCCGTTGTCCAGGGCTGCTGCCTTATGTTTCTGTGCCCCTGGCATTGTCCCTCAGAGTCCCTCCTGGCTGCTCCATGAGTTAATATCCTCCTCACCCCTCCTACCCCTGGGGAGTTTGGATGTGGATGCCAGGCACCTGCTACCACGTTTACGTTCATTTTTTTTTTCAGGGATGCTCATTCCATCTGTGTCCTTTGTCAAAGAAAACGTTATGTCCTGGGAACCAAAAGAGTGATCCAGAGGCCGCAGGGCTCTTTTAGGGATAAACTGAAAACACACACACACACACACGTCACCTTTGTCACTGTGTTGTGTTCTTCTTCCCATTGCAGATCCTGGGTGTTTGGCTGACGTACAGATACCGGAACCAGAAGGATCCTCGCGCGAACCCCAGTGCTTTCCTATGAGGAGCAGATGGGGGCCATCTTCCTCATTCCGAACCTGGGTCACTTTCTCTAACTTTAATTGAAGCTCGTTTTCCCATGCGATGAAGGATGCGGTGTCTTTGAAATGACATCGTTGACTGCAGAATTCTATATTTTTACTATTGCTTTTCTCTAAATGTCTGTTTCTTTTTTTTTTTTTTCCCCTTCTGTTGCTAACAAAAAGAAAAGGAACCTAGTGCTGTCCTCTGACCCTCTGTGGTCACTGTAACCTGTATGTGCCCAGTGTCCAGCCTTGTCCACTGCGGCCTTTCTGACTGTGCCGACCGCGTTGTTGAGTGCCCTGCGCATCTCCCTGGAGTGAGCGTGTGTGGCACCGTGCCGTGTAGATAAGGGGCAAGGGCTGCAGCCACAGAGTCGGACATTCTCTCATGCCCAGTCCAATAAGGGAACGCCATATTCCCCACTCCCCAACTTTTGTGGTTTTTAAATTTTTTTTTGGAAAGCTGTATCGTGGTGAAATGTGTGAATACAAATGGATCCTTTAGTTGTAGTTGTCTTTTATAGTTATACCCACGTGTTCTAGACGTAGCTAGGTCTGTAGAGCAACCAGACTAGGTTTTGATTTTGTTTTGACTTTTACCAATCAAGGCAAAGGAAAAATAGTCCCATGAAATGGTCTAATTTGGATTCCCTTCTGTCCTCAGCAAGGAATGAGTTTGCAGAATTCCGAAGGTATATCTATAGATAATCTTGACATTCTTTTGTAGTAATTCAGAGTCCCCAAAAAACTGCATTTTTAAAACAAGTTACTATTAACATGTTGGCCCATGTCGCAGAACAATCTTGGGTTATCTTAAAAATCGTCACATACTTTTTCATGGAATTTCTCAGTATCGTAACAGCTTGTCAAATTGAGACATCCCTGAATGTGTTCTTCCATAATTTGAGACTGAAATCGTGCTGTGGTATATTATGTTAAAATATTAAAGGATGGAAACTTTCTTTCGTGTATGCATGTTTGAATTAAAAGGAAGGAATGGAAGAATTGGCAAATGAATGAAGTGAGGTGGAATTCTTTGATGTCTTTTGCGAAATCGTCCTCACATCCTTTCTTGAAATGTTTTGGTGATTGATATTAGCCCTAGAGTACCAAAAGGGTGATTTTTTTTAAAGCTATATTTGTGTATTTTAAAGGCAAAAGGCAGAGCTGGAGGGAGGATGGAGAGAGAGACAGAGAGATGGCTAAGACAGCAGGGAGGTCAGGAACTACGTCCTGCTCCATCCCATCTCCTGTGAATGGCCGCAGCCTAAGCACTTGGACCATTTTTACTGCTCTCCCAGGAGTATGAACAGGGAGCTGAATCAGAAGTGGAGCAACCAGGGTTCAAATCAGTGCCCTGCAGCTGGGGCCACAGGAGGTGGTGGCTCAACCCACTTAGCACAGTGACAGCCTTGAGTCAGGGTTTTTGTTTGTTTGTTTGTTTTTGAACAGAGAAGCCGTTCATGTTTATTTGGAAAAATACGTAGTTTCTTCTTCATTATCCAACCATCTAGTTTCTTGTCTTGCATTCTATGCAGCATATGGAGATTATTCTATCAGCGAATATCTCGACAGACTTTAAATTGAGAAAAAAAGTCAATGGTTGTCTTAGCTATTTGCCTATAACTGTCACAACATACTGAATTAGGGACCGTGGTTCTGCAGGTGCCTGGCCTAAGCATCTCAGCTGGCCAGGGTGTGGTGGCAGAGCCCTCGGGGTGCACATCCTGGGTATCAGGCTGTCTTCCTTGCTCTTTGTGGGGTGCGGCCAGGACACAGGCATGGGGCACCTCCTGCAGTGTCCTAATTGCTTCACTGCCCAGAGGCCTTACAGCTTCTGAATTACATCCACATCAGTTGTGGAGGATCAGGCTCCTGCAGGAGCCGAGGGGAACAGATCATATTCCACCTGTCAAATGTTGGTGCATCACTTCCATGTCTAGAAATTCCCATAAGGTTCTTGAATCTAATGCAATTCCTCCCTGCCTGCAGAAGATGCTGTGCAGAAAGGCTTATTCCAGAGAGCAGTAGCAGCCCTTTGCTGTCATTGACACTTCCTCATTTGGGTCAAACTGGCTCGAAAGCTCGGAGTCTGGGGAGAAGGACTCTTGAAGGAGTTGGTACTCTATCACATTTTCCAGCCTAGGCTACTGTCCTGCCATGTTGATCTGGGTATTCTGTTTTCAGGCACATCATGCCAGTCCCTCTGCAGAGCATGATGGGGTAGAGGCTTTGCTGTTGTGCCACTGCAACCCCCATAGCCTGCTGGCTGGGGCTGGACTGTGTGGTTCAGGGGGATTAGGCCACCTGCCAATTGTGACGCAGACATCGGAGTCCTGGCTGCTCCGCTTTAGATCCAAGCTCCTGCCAATGCTCCTGGAAGGCAGCAGATGAAGCCTGAGTGCTTGGCTCCTGCCACTCCTGAACGACCCTTGAGACGGTGACAATGGTGAGGCTGACCTTAGAGCGACAGGAGGGCCATGGCCTGTGCACACAGCAACACTGTTGTCAGAAGAGAGCGAGCTTCCCATCAGGGTGTGCCTTTGAACTACAATGGGTGAGCGCCAGGCAACCCTGAAGCCTGACAGATCCTTACAGCTGGCCTTGCTTTAACAAGGAACTGTTACAGGAACTTACAACAGGACACCAAACACCAGCTCTCTCATTCCCTTTTTACATGCTTGCTGTAGAGGAATGGTCCTTAAAACATTTGCCCAAGCAACCTTGTTATGAAACGTGAAATTTAAGCTAGTGAACATAATGCTAATAAAAAGGAGAAAGAATTCAGCTCTGATTTCTAAAATCGAAACCCAGCTGTGGCTTACATTCAGATCAGGGACTCCTCTGTCACCCAAGCAGCTGCGTGTTTGGTCTGAAAACCAGTTCTGCATGTCCTGTGGACTCAGTGCCCCGCTGAATAGGATCTTTGAGAAGCAGGGAAAGGCACCCAGAATGTGGCTTGTCGTCACTCTCCCTGAGCCAAAAATACCACCTCCACCTCCTCCTCCTCCATTTTATCCCTGTGTGAGCTTATTCCTTCTCTTGAGAATGTGGTAGCTCCATTGAAGTCTTTGCTTTTGAGCTGGTACTGGGAAGATTCAAAACACATTTTTGCCTTCACATGATCATGATTGTGCAACCATGATAACTCACATGCTTGTATGAACATGATAACTCACATGTGATTGCACTTGAGCCTTCACAAATGGGTATAAGAATGTGAGGATTCACACGGTTCACGTGTGGCTTTTAAGAGGTGACAGTGATGTTAAACACCATCTTTTCCAGGTTTCTGGGTAGGTGAGGAGACGCATCAAGTCATTGTGCTGAAATTGGGATGTTTGGGGCTGGCAGGTAATTTTCACACCACGCTCTATACCTGGTGGAGTCAGAGTTTATTTGCTGGGGAATGTGTCAGAAGCTATTTTAAAGGAGTGATCAGCCACCCCTGCCCTCCCCCACCCAACACATACTTTGCAGGCATGGGGGGCTGTGGATTTCTTGGAGAAGCGAGTCTGGGATGTGTGGAAGGGGGACTGCTGAGGGAGAGCATGACAATGAGGAATGACTTCTGGGGGTCTTCCACCAACCTGGCTATTGCACTTGCCGTTAAATAAGGGGCTGAGACTGGGTGCTTTAGAAGAAGGAAACTGGAGGACCTTTCAGAGCCAAACCAATACTGTCCATGTGGGAGACCTGAGCTGGGGTTGTTAGTATCAATCCCTGCATATCAGCACACTCAAAAGCCATTTGGGGGGGGGAGGCCTGCCTGGCAGTACCCACCAGTGAGTGTGGGAGGAGATGGTGGACAATGTTAGGCTGGCCCATGACACTAACCAGCTCACCAGAAAAACGGATCTGGGAGCAGATTCTATGGGGAGTAGTGAGCTCACCCTATGGGACTGCCATACCAGCTGGTTTGCTTGAGGGCTCGGGTGGTGATGGGCTAAGCTAGGTATAACCATGGAACCAATTAGGGTTGGGAATGGGCTGGGCTGGTCCAGGTTGTAGCACCTGCATGAGCACCCAAAAACTGGGTGTGGGATGGGCTAGACTGCAACATCCACCAGTACACACAATGGTCAACACTGGGGGGTGGCGGGACAAACTGGTCCAAGGATTCCACCTGAGTGGGTTCGATAATTCTGAAATGCTGTTGATCTCATCAATCCAAGGAAGAGGATCTCTTTCCAAGGTCCAGCTGCTGACACAGTCCACCGCAGGGCCTCCATTCGCCCAGATATTTGCTGTCAACGCTTGGCTGGGGTCGTTGAGTAATTTATTCTGTTTGCCTCCCTCTACTACGGTATCAGCTGTCCTCTGCACGCCTCAGTGGATTACCTTATCCTCCATGTGCATCTGGGCATGTCAAGCATTGCTCCAAGATAGCCCTTGAGGAGGTCCAGTTCTGACACATACATTCCACAGTCAGACCACAGATCCTATGATTCTCCCATGGTTGGAGTTCAGTCTAGCAGCTCAGTTGGAAGGATCCCCACAAAAAGATCGTCTGAGGGATCCCAGACCTGACTCTGGTGTGTGCTGTCCAGTATAGGGTCTGGCTCTGTCACCCACATCAACCTACGCACACACTGGTAGTTGCAATTGCCGCATCGGTTTTGTCTCTAACCCTGTCTGTAATGTAAAACAATGGATGTTATAGCGCAGCCTAACCTAAGGGGGATTTCTTCTTTTCTCTGTAGTTTTGACATTTGCTCTCCTAAATGTTTACACACACACACACACACACACTCACTCACACACACACAGAGGATGTTCCTACATATAAATGTTCCCATAAAGAGGAAATGTATATATATATATATATATATGTGTGTGTGTGTGTGTGTGTGTGTGTGTCTGTATTCATTGGAAAGACAGATAAGATCTATAGAGAGGAGAGAGAGAGACAGAAAAATCCTTCATCTGCTGGTTCCCTCACTAAATGGCCACAATGGCCAGAGCTGAGCCGATTTGAAGTCAGGAGCCAGGAACTCCCCCTGGGTCTCGCACATGGTGAGATGTACAGTCCCAGGCACTGGGCCATTCTCTTCTTTCCTGAGCCACAATCAGGGAGCTGGATGGGATGTAAAGCAGCCAGGAAATATCCTGGTGCCTGCATGGGATCCCGGCGCTTGCAAGGTGAGAATTTAGTCATTGAGTCATTGCGTCAAGCCCTTATTTATATTTTGAAAATTATGTGTGTTAATGTTATATAACTCAGTACATTTAAAGACCTAACAGTCTTATTTTACAGCAGTTCCATGAAAAAAACAATAAATGTCATTTTGCACTGCAGAAGAAACTTGAATCACTTAGAAGCTGTCTTCCAAAATATTTGCTAATACAGGTGTTAACTTTTTCTTCCCATTTGTCTTCAGAGAAATTTCTAGCTAAATGTATTATCTGTGTGGTTCTCTGTATCATTGAGGTTACCTGCTTGTAAGAAGGGAATTGATATTTTATCCAAAGGATTCTGTATCATTAAATCAACCGTAGACCCTCAGCACCTAATACACATGGTGGTCTTTGTGGGAGACAGAAAGACATTGAAAATGGCACTGTGGTATGGCAGGTGAAGCTGCTACCTGTGACATGAGCATCAGTTAGCCCTGGCTGGTCCACTGCTGATCCAGCACTCTGCTGATGTGCCTGGGAAAGAGAAAGACAGCTCAAGTCCTTGAGGCATGTGCTACCAATATGGAGGACCAGAAGGTTGACTACAAGTCCCTGCCATTTAGGGAGTGCACCAGCAAATGGAAGCTAGATCTCTCTCTAATTCTGCCTTTCAAGTAAGTACATAAAATATTTACACACATACAGAAAAAAGCTAATACTAAATGATTTGTTCAGAAAAGGATTCATCCAACAGTTCATTAGGGCAAGCGGTAGCTAACCAGTAAGCAAAGCATTTATTTAGAGACCCCGAGGGGCCAAATGCCAAGAGCTGAAGAAGTCAACGGAAGTTAAGTAAGACTTGTATAGGCATGCCACACGCTAGTGAATGTAGGTACTGCAAAGAGGCAGTGGCTCATCGGATTAAGAAATAGATTCATTGTGCTGCACAAGGAAATTTGAAGTCCCTGCATAGTTTCTCTTTCTTTCTTTCTTTCTTTCTTTCTTTCTTTCTTTCTTTCTTTCTTTCTTTCTTTCTTTCTTTCTTTCTTTCTTTCTTTCTTTCTTTCTTTCTTTCTTTCATTTCTTTCTTTCTTTCCTTCTTTTCTTTCATTTCTTTTCTTTCATTTCTTTTCTTTCTTTCTTTCTTTCTTTCTTTCTTTCTTTCTTTCTTTCTTTCTTTCTTTCTTTCTTTCTTTCTTTCTTTCTTTCTTTCTTTCTTTCTTTCCTGATTTATTTATTTTTATTGCAAAGTCAGATATACAGAGAGGAAGAGAGACAGAGAGGAATATCTTCTGTTTGATGATTCACTCCCCAAGTGACTGCAACAGCCAGTGCTATGCTGATCTGAAGTCAGGAGCCCAGGTAATCCTTGGGGTCTCCCACACGGGTGCAGGGTCCCAAGGCTTTGGGTTGTCCTCAACTGTTTTCCCAGGCCACAAGCAGGGAGCTGGATGGGAAGTGGGGCTTCCGGGATTAGAACTGACACCCATATGGGATCCTGGCACTTTCAAGATGAGGACTTCAGTTGCTAGGCCACCACAGTGGGCCCATAGCTTTTTCTTAATATTGTTTTTTTCAGTCACTGAGTCTGTTGTACATTTGTGATTTTGTTGAACGGAATATAGAGTTAGAAGTAGCTTGGGCCACTCCCCTGCTTGATGCTAAACCCTGCCACAGCTTTTTGCAACTATGATCCCTGATCTTTCTTGTGTGGGCACAATACCATTACCCTTTGCTCTCCCAGTGATTCACTTGTTGATGAGGAAGATGGGAGTGATTGACATGGAGTGAATGGTAGGCCAGTGTTCTGGAATCAGGAGAGACACCGGTCCATGACCAAGCCGAAGCTGAGGAAGTCCTGCTAGTGTTTTACTTCAAATTTATGTTTAAGAAACAGAGAGTCAGAGGAAGAGTGTGTATCTCCCATTCTCACTGTTGGGATTAGGTTTGTCTATCCCCTCCTTATGCATTCTTCTGTGCGTCCAACTATTTGGTGACCAAGCCAAACAATTTTCATGTGAAAGATAGTGTTGAGAAAAAAAAAATACATTCAGCTGAACACCCCCAAAAGGATTTATTTTTTAGAAAATCATGGCTCACCATGGTAACATACAATATTTTCATACAAGTGTACTTGAAATCAACTTTTTAAAAAAAAATGTAATTGTAGCATATGTCCACCTGTACTTCCATGTTCTCTGCTCCTCTGAAATCTCTGGGCCCAAAGCTCGAAGCCCAGCAGGAAGAGCACACAGATGCTGTTGTTCTCTCTACAATTCAGTCTTCAGCAACTTGAGTGCTTTCTTCATGTTGTCAAGCACTAGTAAGCAGAAGAATACAGTTAAGATGCCAGCAAATAGAAACAGTGCATCCCCCCACCCAGACTGCCTTTTGTTCTCCAGTGTTGAACGAGTAGGGCAAATAGTTGATTATCTTAAGATAAATTAGAAAGTGTTTTTGTGATAGCCCAGTTCTCTGGTGAGTGTTTTTCTTCTCATTTGTTCTCTCTGCAGCCCACACTCCTGGGAAAATCCCTGTGGAAGTTCCATCACTGGGCAACAGTTTGGGCTGATTTAGAAATAAATTCTAAACCCCCTTTTGTGAGAAGTATTTGCTGCTAGATGTCTGTAGCTACTACGAAGTGTTTACAAGTGGGTGAAATACAAACCATCAATGATAATAAGCCAAGCGCTTTACACGCTTCCTTTAATGCAAGTTCTATTACCTTTTTGCTGATGGATGAAGAACTATAGACACTGAGAGGCTGAGTGGCTTGCTCAAAATATTAAGAGCCAGCAAGTGATGGAGCTGCTCGCTGTGTCAGAGCCCAGAGTCACAGTCACCAGGTATGTTGCTACTGTGTCGGAGTGCAGACTCTAGATCACTGTTCTCACAGCAGCAAGGCACGAAAGCAAAGCACTAAGTGGGGTCCCTATACGTGGTGGAGATGTGCAGCCAGTGGGGGCCTCCATGGTGGGGGTGACACTTACGCAGAGCTGCATCAGAAGGCTCATAGGCGTAGAGACGGTTGGAGTATCTTCCTGTGATGTCAGCTCTAACCGTCAGGGATGGGTCTGTAAAGAGAAGGGGATTGAATGCTTTGTTTTCTCTAGGAGCCTCAGCGTGTGATCAACCATGTGTCCTAGGGTGCATCCCACAGATGTACCACCTGCAGCCCGGCAGCTGCCTCACCTGCTGCCCTTGGTGCCAAGTTCAGGACTTGGCTATTTGACAGCTGTGTAGTGCTACTTGTGGAAGTGAGAATATGGATTTTGGGAGCAGTGTTCATTTTTTTGATGAAAATGTCAATGTTCTCTACCACAATTATGGTTAGCTTTTTTAAAATTGTTTATTTATTTGAGAGTCGGAGATGAAGAGAATCTTTCATTCTCTGGCTTACTCCTCCAAAAGCTGCAATGATCAGTACTGAGCCAAGCCAAAGCCAGGAGCTTCCTCTAGGTCTCCCATGTCGATGGCAGAGACCCAAGCACTTAGGCCACCTTAGCATGAAGCTGGATTGGAAATGGAGCAGTCGGAACCAACACCCCTGTGGGGTGGTTGGCATTGTGGATGGCAGCTCTACCCACTATTCCACAATGCCAGCCCCTATGATTATGTTGCAGTTGACAAGTTTTATCAAGAGCAACTAGATAAGTGCAAGTCCACATTCAGTGCTAATTTTCAAAATAAGTTACGTCTAGTGAGTGAAAGAATGCAAGCATTAAGCACATGATGTTTCCCTTTTATTGTTAATTGGCTACCTTTTGAAGATATTCAGTAGACCTTTGACACACACATACACCCCTTTAGACTTGCACCCATTGTTTCCTGTTTTGCGCTTAGCTTAAAGCTGGTTATCTTTTTCGAATAGTCTGTTTTAGGGATGCAGTTCCTGGGATCACGTTTTGGCTATTTGTCTTTTGGTTGTTATGCAGCTTCCTATGCTGTGCAACCTGGGAGGCAGCAGGTGCTGGCTTAGGTTCCTGCGTTCCAAGGAATTCCTGGATCTTGGCTTTACCCAGCTTCGATCTGACTGTTGAGGGCACTGGGGGACTAAACTAGTGACTGAGAAGTTCTCCTGCTCATTCATTCTCTTTTTCTAAATCTATCTTTTCAAAAAGTGTATTTTAAGAGGAAAATGTTTATGCAAAAGGGAAATGATAGAAGGATCTAGAAACTTGGCCCTGAGAGGTGATTGGTAGAATCTAAGACACAAGAACTAGAGGAAGAGACCAGTAAAAGCCACTGACATGCGTGCAAAGGCTGTTGCTGGTCCCAGAAGGACAATCTGTCATTTCAGAAGAGTGGACAAGGTGTTATGTTTTAAGAGGCAGATATTGATTCATTCAATGATGGAAGACCAACTTTAGTTGTCTCATCTTAATAAGAAATTAACCTAATGCTTGATGTGGTAGTTTGATTGGCTAATTCTCTGCTTTACAAGCGCTGGGATCCCATACTGGCACCTGTTCATGTCCCAACTGCTTCACTTCCCATCCAGCTTCCTGTTTGTGGTGAGCAAAGCAGTGAAGGATGGCCCAAAGCTTTGGGACCCTGCACCCACATGGAAGACCAGGAGGAAGGTCCTGGCTCCTGACTTCAGATTGGCTTAGCTCCAGCTGTTGAAGTCACTTGGGGAGTGAACCAGTGGATAGAAGATCTTTGTTTCTATAAATCTTCCATTCCAATAAAGATAAATAAATCTTTTAAAGCATGAATTAAACGACAAAAGGCTCCTGGCCCTAGCTGCACATTGGAATCACCTACAGAGCTCCATATACACTGGATTTGAATTCAGTTGGTCACAGGTGGGGCATGGGTGACCTGTGTTTAAGACCCTCCAGGTGCCTGTAACAGCCAGAGTGGGGGACCCAAGCCAGGGGAGCAGGCAGCCTTGGAGCTAGAGCTTCTGACTACAGGAAATGAGTGTGGATTCAAGATTGCTGTAAAACCCATTCCTGTACAAGGCACGACTAGATGGCCGGCCTGTTCCTTACCAAGGCTAAGATTCTGCAAGTTCTCAGCTGACAAAGCATATCTTGTGCATGAGTGCCTTAGCTCAGCCTTCCTCCTTTCCTCCTATCACTTTGTTTTCTATCCTGTATTATGTAATTAATGTTAACTTTATGAATCACTTAGGTGAATCACCTGAATAGACTGTGCCCAGCTTCGGGATGGATTTTTTTTTTTTTTTAATTTGAAAGGTGGGTGTAAGTGTGGAAGGGTTTAGAGAGAATCTTTTAGTAGTTCATCCCCTACATGGCCTTAATGGCCAGGCTGGGCCAGGTCAAAGCCAGGAGCCTGGAACTCACTCAGGGTCTCCCACAAAGGGGTCCTAACACACAGATCATCTCTGCTGCCTTCCCAAACCCACTCACAGGAAGCCGAATCAAGAGTAGGGGAGCTGGGACCTGAACTTTTGCCCTGCTGTGGGATGTGTTGCAAGCCACGGCTTAACATGCTGTTCCACACGGCTGACCCCCAGGTAGGATATAATTACAGGTTTTCTTGAGTCCATCTAACTGCTAAAAGCCAAAGACTGCATGTTCATTTGACCTTTTAGCAAAAACTAATCAAGAGCTCACGGCTGTCTTGTTGGGGCAATGGCAGAGAAGCAGAAAAACAGCCACGCCTCCCACCTGGAACCTTCATCAGCGATGCCTGGGTCGTTAACTAGGTGATATGAGAAGATGGAGAAAGCAGAAAAAGCTTTCCAGTCTGGGGAGCAACACTGAAATTGCATCAATGGGAAGAAAGAATCTGGGTACCTTGATATCCAATTCCTAGTCCATATTCCTAACATTCTGAAAATAGTCATTAGCCATGTCAGAAAAACAGAAAAATATCCCACACAGATCAACCAGTCCCTAGTGTGTCTTTTTTTTATTATTTTTTTTTTAATATTTGGGTCTGACATGGTGCAGTAGGTTAAGCTTGCCTTTTGCAATGCCATATTAGAGCATTAGTTTGAGAGTCACAGCTGCTCAGCTTTGGATCCAGCGCCCTCTGGGGCACCGGGAAAGCAGTGGACAATGCCCCAAGTGCTTGCACCCCTGCCACCCATGTGGGAGACCTGGATGGAGTTCTTGGCTCCTGGATTGAATCTGGCCCAATTCCTGCTTTTGTATTCATTTGAGAAATAAACCAGCAATACAAGATCACTCTCTCTCGAACACTGCCTTTCAAATAAATAAAATAAACCTCTTAAAAATTTAGAAACCTGATATATTCAGGGAAATTATCCATGCATTTAAACAGTTAGCAAGGTGCTTCCTTCTTGGATGGGTTGGCGGCAAAAATAAGAAGTTAAAATGAGCAGAGGAGAAAAAGTCATCTGGGGGAATAAACAGAAACTCCCATTTTCCAATGGAAATGTGAAACTTGCAGTTGTGTCGTAGTCTGGGTACATCATGTCCTGTGCTAGAGTGTGGCCGTGGCCTTGGCCGTGGCGCAGTGGCAGACGCAAGTGCAGGGGATAGAAAGGCACAGGGCAGCACCTGCGTTGTTTTGAGAGTGTGTTTCATCTTATAGCCACTTTTACTTACCGACGAACATGATCCTGGGGACGTACTGGCCGTCGGGGGAAAGGTGCTTGTCTGTAGTTTCGTACTAGGATTGAAACAAACAGATCAGCATTTAGTTTACTCTTCAGCCACTTTCAAGCCTGCTAACACCGGAGTGTGTCCATTATGGAGCAAGGCACCTGCAGATGCCACCAGGTACATCAATGTTGATAACATAGATGGGTGATGGGATGTGGGGAGACTGGGACACTCACAGGTGTGATACACAGGAACACAGTAAAGCTCAGGGAGGGGGACAGTGTGCAGGTTTTAGGGAAGATAAGGGAGGAGGAGATAGAGGTGGTAGAAAAAGCAGAAGTCATTTTCAGAAAAATTACAAGGGCAAACAGACTTCTCTTCAGCACGCCTTTAACCATTGGCCAATTTTCATTTAGGATTTTCTGGATTGAGCAAGCACCATGCTTATCTTTAAGGAATGCACAGAAAGGAAAATTCATATTGAGGATACAGCGGGTGAATTTTTAGGAAGTGAAGAAGAGCAAGTGTTGGGAGCGCCCAGCCCAGGGCAGGTTTCCCCAAGTCCTTCTTTTAGCAGAAGTCTGAAATGGTGAAGAAACATTAGTTATATGGGGGCTGGTGCATTGGCTTAACTGGCTAATCCTCCCACTTCAAGCACCGGGGTCCCAAATGGGCACTGGTTCGTGTCTCAGCTGCTCCACTTCCTATCGAGCTCTCTGCTTGTGTTCTTGGAAAGCAGTTGAGGATGTCCCAAAGGCTTGGACCCCTGCACCCATGTGGGAGACCCGGAAGAGGCTCCAGGCTCCTTGCTTCAGATCACTATTGGATGTCGTGGCCATCTGAAGAGTCAACAGAGGCTGGAAGGTTTTCTGACTGTTTTTCTCTTTATAAATCTTTCATTCTCATATAAATAAATTAATCTTAAAAAAAAAAAGGAAAAGGGTATCCCTTTGTAAGAGGGGTAGCTGGGCTGGAGGGGGAAAGCATGGTGCTTGCCTGTGTGGCCAGGGGCTGCAGAAGGAACAAAGGCTCCCAGATGCAAGAGGACCGAGGTGGGGAGATGCCGGATGCCCTGGGCTGGATCACCAGAGAGGCCTGGCACATGTTCCCAGTGTTTCCATTGGCGCCGAAATAGTGAACAACCACACCGAGGAGGTGTTGCTCCTCAGAGTGATGGTTCATTGCTCTGAGGCAGCGTGAGGGCAGGTGGGGTTGTTCACTATTTCGGCACCAATGAAAACACTGGGAACATGTGCCAGGCCTCTCTGGTGACGTATCCTATCTTCTCTCCAGTCGGTGAGATGGAAGATTAGGAGGAGGTGCCACTGAGTGTGTGGCCAGGGGAAGCATTAATCACGATGCCAATGAACTTACAACGAGGTTGAGGAGAACAAACTGCTCTGCCAACTTCTGGATGTCCTTATTTTCAGCAAACACTTTCTTTAAAGCTATAAGATAAGGAAAAGTGGTCACAGCCCGACTTCCACGTTGGATGGCATTTTAAATACAGTTCCTGCTTTGCACTCTCAGCAGATAAATGAAGCAACGCAACGCAGCTCACTGCCTTTCCGTTCTGTCGGACACTCAAGCCATCACTCTGATCACTCATTCATTCATTCACACACTTAGTAGCACTGAATGGTTGCTAGCCAGGTAGGCACTTCTTTCTGCGCTGGGAAAGTGCAGTGGAGGGGAAAAAACCCTCAAGTATTATTTCCGTAGGGGTCAAGTTCTTGTGTGAAAGACTGTAAGTAAGTAAGCAAACATATACGCAATAATTCCTGGTGGAACTGAGCACTGTGAAAGAAAGTAAAGCCAGGCTAGGGATTAAAGAGCTGTGGGGAGAGCAGGGCCAATCTCAGCAGGTGCAAAGGTGATGTGGCAGTGAGGTAGTGATGCAGTTTGGAGGGCGGTTGCTGTGGACAGAGGCAGCTGCAGGAGCAGTAGCCCTGTGCAGGGAGTGAGCTCTGGGGCTTCAGAAATGACTCAAGGCTGGGCCAGATGAAGAGGAGAGAGAAGGGGCTGGGAAGGGTCCTTCAAAAGGGAAGGCAGCCACCAGCCAGAGTCGGCCCGGATTTGAAGACTAGCTGTGGTTGCGAAACCACATGAGCACATGAGTGGTGAGGTTTGGTTTCTGTTTCATAACCACACTTGGGCTTCTGGGCAGGGAACTGACTACAGGGTGGTCAGACGGTGGCTGTCACGGTCCTCCACGAGAAGCCCTGAGGTGGGCTCGGCTCTAGATAGCAGCACTAAGCCGTGAGAAGAGGTTGGATTTGGGCAAGGCCAGCATCATGGAGTCTATGGTGTCCAGGAAAAAGAGGAAGCACAGACCCTCTGGCTCAAGCATTAGAACCTCAGGACAATGACAGTGGAGTACTGAAGCTGTTGTGGGAACCTGGGAAACCCTGGGCAGTGTGCTACTCTGTTTAACTCATGCAAAGCTCCACGCTGCATTTCAGAGGAACTCTACCTGCTGCGTTATTTGTGGACTGAAAGTGGAATCAGTTAATTCGAGTTGAATCATAGGGTTTGTTTATTCAAAATAGGCACCCACTTTTCACACAAAGTATAGAAATACTTCAAGTTGACTTTAAGCTTTTATGTTTTAAAACACCATGTGTTCTATCTTATTTAACTGTGTTGGGTTCTGATACAAACATGAGGGATCCAGCTCCTTTTTGGAGAATCTTATTTGGAAAAAGAAGTTACCTTGGCTGTGTGGGCATTCGTCCAAGTGGTGGATGATCATCAAGGGCTTGTTGCTGTAAGAGCCAGAGAGAGAGGATGAGTCAAGTGAGTGACAAGTGTGTATGGTTACGCAGCACTAGAGGGTGCTCTGAGAGCTTTTCCCCAGGCCTGTCCTCATGTTTACCTTGTCTTGGATTTGTATAAAGCCTCTTCGTATGTCTGAGTCCAGATGAGTTGGTCACCCCAGCCTAGAACAGAAAGAACCCACGTGTGTAAGGAGACCACAGTTTCAGATCCAAAGTTATGGAAAGGCACATTGAAACATGGGTTGAGAGGGAAAGAAAACCCTGAGGAAAAGAGCATCAGAAATGGTCATCAAGTTAGAAAGTGACATCCAGCCACTTTTATTCAGCACGGAGCGTCAGGAAGTCTTGCCCAGCTAAGTGGTCGCTGGAAGCCCCCACGCGGCTGACTCCTACCTCGGGAGAGGGTCTGAGGCAGCTTGGGTTTCCCGTCCTTCTTAGTACCGGGTTTGACCGTGGTGTCTTTGGCCAACGCACAGGAGAGGGCCACCAGGAGCAGGAATGCTGACACGGACATTTTCTCCATGGTGAATCTGATGTGGAGGATGGACCAACAAGAAGTGAGTGGCCTGCAAGATCTGCAGGCAGGAATGTGACCAAGTGAGCTTCTGCTGAGGTTGGAGCAGAAAGCTGTTTCCCAAGGGAATCCAGAAGAATCTGTGCCCACCTGTATACTTACCTACGCACCTGAATCTGCCTACCTGTTTAATTACATATGTACCTATCTACTACCTACTTATCTACCTATGTACCCACTTACTTACCTGTCAACCTACTACTTCTCATCTCTCTATCTACCCACCCACCCAGTCATCTACTGATCTATCAATAGATACAGACCCATAGATTTAGATACAGGGATGTAGATCTCATAGGACACACACCTATCTGTATGGATATATGTCTAGCAACAATTACATTTGATAGAAGAAAGTAAAATAATTAGAAGTATATTAGCTAGAGAAGTTTATATTTGAATGTTAGAAATTAGATAATTAATTATACATACTCTTATAACCAGAGAAATTTGCCTTTAAACTCTATGTTTAAAAAAAAATGGTTCACGAAGATTCCTGTGGGATTATTTCCTCTTACACTCCCCTCCCAACTCCCACAGCAGTGCCTCAGTGTATAATATGAAGAATCTGAAGTTCAGAGATGAAAGGGTTTATAAGACAGATCCAGGGGGCCAGTGCCGTGGCCTACCAGCTAGGATCCTCTCCTTGAACGTGCTGGGATCCCATGTGGGCGCCAGTTCTAATCCTGGTGGCTCCACTTTCCATCCAGTTCCCTGCTTATGGCCTGGGAAAGCAATCAAGGATGGCCCAAATCTTTGGGACCCTGTACCCACGTGGGAGACCTGGAGGAAGGTCCTGGCTCCTGGCTTCAGATCAGCTCAGCTCCAGCTGGTGTGCTCCCTTGGGGAGTGAATCATCGGATGGAGACTCTTCCTCTCTGTCTCTCTTCCTCTCTATATATCTGACTTTGTAATAAAAATAAACAAATCTTTTTTTTTTTTTTAAAGACAGGTCCAGAACAAAAGCTTTCGGGTCTTCCCTTACTTCCTGTTCACATGTAGACATTGCCACTCAAGAATGCATGATGAGTGACGTGATTCGTAATTGTCACCTGGAACCTGCCAGTCTTGGCCCTTCCCCACCCTCACCCAACTCTCCCAAGAGTAGTATTTACTCTGTGTCAGTCGCTGCCCCTCAGTGTGGGACTCCCTCCAATGAAATTGCCCTTAGACTTTTTATGTGGGCCTCTAGTGGATGATCCTGTGAGCATGCTCTTTAGGGCACAAAACTATTCTGATTGATAATGCAGAGCAGCAGACCCTGTGAGAGCTTGTCTGCTGCAGTCTGCCTCCCTCTCTGGTGCCCCACGATTAGTTCTTAGAAAGAGCAGGAGCCAATGTCCAAGAATGGAAGGACAGCTGAGTCAGATGCGCTCCCCGAGTGCGTGAGGAGGAGGGGAGGGAAGTGGAGTGAGGCTCTTGAAGAAGGTGCTAACGTTAGCATCGATCATAATGAAGAAAGCAGAACTGCATTTCTCACAAAGTCAAACACTAAACCTGCTTAAAGGGAAACAAGGGACAATACTGGTGTGGGTTTGAGTTAAGTCAGTAATCTCTGCAGAAGATGTATAGTGAGTTCTCACTGCTCCGTGGTTCTAAGAGTGTCTCATGATTGGTAGAGGAAACGAGAAGCTTTGCTAAGCATTAAGCTGCTTTTTCTCTAAACATTGCCAAATTATCAAACCCATCTATTCTTTGGGTCATGGTACGTAGCCACAAAGTGCCTTCCTCAGAAAAGAAACGAGCAAAAAGCAGAAATAACACATTGAACGTTTAATGCCTATAAGAATGCGGCAATGTCCCTAACTGTTTTTGTCTTGTAGAATTTAGTTCTGCAAACCATTCAAGCGTACTGTATATCAACAACACCCAGCCCTCTTAGTGTGACTGCTTTTCTTAGTGTTAAAAATAATCAAGAACTTCTATGTGAGACTAATGATACTTTTTCAATATTAGTTGGTCCAGAAATATATCTTCACAAGTAGCTGCTTTGAATTTATCAACAAACATTGGGTTTTCTACATTATTTATGAAGACACTGATGTGTACCTGGAAAGCTGACGCTAAATTGGTGATGAAGTGTTTCATTAATCCACTGACAGTTCTTGTGGTACAAGCGGTTGTAGGGTTGCCCTGCAGTACAGCTCCACAGGTTACAGGTTGGAACCATTGACGAAATAGATGTAAATAGATGTATTACAGGCATTTTATGACAGATTATGCAGGAAGGCCAAAGCACTTCCTGATGTATGAACTTCCTGCTCTGAAATGGCTTTTTGAAATTCATAGCATGAACTGGCTCTGGTCTGAAATTTTTCTGCATGAAAACATCTTTAACCCAAAGCTAACCATAGGACACATGGACAATTTGGACACCCCCCCGCCCCCGCCACACACACAAACAGGCACAGTCTTACCGATCATTGTCTCCTTACCTTGTCTTTACCAAGAGAGGGACTTGCAGGGACTGTCAGTATCTCTGTTACTATCAGGAAAGCCACCCTGGTTCTCCTGTCTGACAGCCAGTCTACATACCTAGAGACTGAAGAAGCGACTACTCTAGCTTTAAAACACGCAGGCAAAAGAAAACCGTTTCCTTATTGCCATCACATGCTAGGGTGTTTCCCAATGTTTATGAAAAACAGATTAAAAAGATATGATTTTGATGCTGTAAGAAGTTTCCGAAGTTCATGCATTTGAGAGGCTCTTTAGAAAGTTCGTGAAAATGAATATCATGAAAAATCTCTGCATTTCAATATATACATGTATATATTTACACCAACAGAAACTTAATCTTCGAATGCCATTTTGCATCAGTGTTTCGCCTCGTATTGCCACTGGGTAACCCGAGCTATTGCTCCTTAGTAGAGGATCTTGCCTGCCTTTGCTTAACTTTAGTCAGGGTGGTATAAACAGAGCAGATGATGGGGACTGAGGTGGAGACCCCTGGGGTCTCTGTGCCAGCTTTGAGAACCGCTGCCATTCACTCATTCCTCAACATTTTGTTTCCTAAAGGAGAAAGCTTGGGAATGCACCACCTGCCAGGACTACCCAAGCCGGGCTCCAGGGAGCCCTTGGAAATCCCACAACTCCTGTTCCGTATCCCACTTCCCCTCCCTTGGACACTTTGACTTCTCTGTCGGTTGGCTGCGAGCACCTGGAGGCCAAAGCTCCCTGCAGCAGGTGCCCTTCCCAAGTGGTTGTTGGGAGTCTTACCTGGGTTTCCCCTCCCACTGCCTGTGTGAGACACTCCGGACGCAGTCCAAGCTTCTGCCTGTGCCAGTTGAGCTCAATCCTCTATTTATGCACCAGAGCACACCTCACTCCCACCCACTAATCCTGTGTTTACATGTGGCTGACTCGGAAATGAACCTGCCTTTGTCCAAGCCATCTTCTTCCTTGAGTTAAAGAGCTCCTTGCTTTAAAAGAGAACATTGCAAAAAGAGTGTTTTTTTTTTTTTAACTATTTATGAAACTATATCGTTAAGAGACTAGGTAAAGATGGGCAGGGTGCCAAGTCCAAGGTAAGTTTAGAGGAAGACCTTTGATTTGCCAGAAGGCTGATTTGTCTTTACGTGATTGGATGGGGTGTGTGGTTTGTAGATTTATTTCTTCCCTCCCCTTGGGCAGACTGCCCTTATTTAATAGGAAATCTGCATTGAATGATTCACCATTCCAACCCTTACAGTTGTAAAATCTGCTATGGTCCATCACATTACAAATTATTTATCACGATGGACTTCCCACTTTTTGGCAAAAAATAAAAATAAGTTTTATTAACTACAAGTCTGCAGAACATATAAATCAGGGGTCTGTAAAATATTTCAGAAATGAGTAAATACCTGGAGAAATGCATTAGCAGGAAGCTGGTCGGGAAACAGAGCCAGAATCTGAACTTAAAAGCCCTGATATGAAGTGAGGGTACCCCAAATGGCTTACCAAATACCTACCCTGGGAAATGCTGAACAACCCCGGAGTAACTAAAGGGATAAAACCTTTATTAAATCTCTCTCTAAACTACTTCAGTGATAATGTTTCAAAACTGTTCTCATTGAGTAGAGCTTTGAATTATATAAGCAAAATGATTATCCTAAAAATACTGAATTTCCAGTTGGCATTGTGGCATAGTTAGTAAAACAACACCAGCATCCTGTATGCTTGCTCGCTTGTGTCTCAGCTGCTCCTCTTCTGCTCCAGCTTCCTGCTAACGGCCTGGGAAAGCAGCAGAAGATGGTCCGTGGACTCCTGAAGACCCAGATGAAGCTTCTGGCTTCAGCCTGACCCAGTCCAGGACTTTGTGGTCAACAGGGGAAAATGAATGGAAAACCTCCCTCTCTCTGTCTCTCTCGTGTGTGTGTTTGAGTATCCCTCTCTCTGGTACTCTCTTAAATAAATAAGTTAATCTTTAAAAAGTTGATTTAACAAGTGGCCAATCTTTCTCTCTTTCTCTCTCTGTGTCCTTTTCTCTCTGCTATTTTGACTTTTAAATAAGTGAACTAATCTTTTAAAAATTCAATTTCAACCTAATTATATATCTGTAGAGATAATATCTTTTAGAGTTTGAAAACAGTTGTTTGAGTTGAACTTCTACAATGGGAAAGACTGGCTCAGAGACCTTTAGTCTCCTTGGCTCCTGGAACATTCAGTTCAACCCCCTCACTAGGCAGATGGAAGAATGAAGCACACGATGAAGGTTTTTTTGAGAGTCCTCATTTAGGGCAGGTGTCTTCTGCAGAAAGTGGGATGTGGATGGTGTATGGAGTTTGGAGGTGTCCTTTCACACCTCTGCAACGTCAGATTTTTGCCTAAAATGGGAATCGCATTATCACATATGATTGTTCCGGGTGTTACGTGAGTTATGACATGGGAGCACATTTAATTGGTTAGGACTGCCCTAGCAGAAGGGCACAGAGCTCGGGCCTTAACGAGCGGTGATTTGTTTTCTCACACGTTTGGAGGCCATGAGTCTAAGATGAACGTTATCACCAGGGTTAATTTCCTCTAAGACTCTCCTCCTTGGCTTGTAGGTGGCCCTGGTCTTCTCTTTGTTACTCTGCAGGGCCTTCTCCCTGTATCTGTGTCCTGATTTCCTTAAGAGACACCAATGTTACTGTCTTCGGGCTCAGACTGACAACTTACTGTAATGTGATTTTTCCTGTAGGAGACTGTATGCATTCCCTTTTGCCTTTGATTCTAATCCCCACTACTAGAACACATAAACTTTGGGTAGTTATGACTCAGCCCGTGACGTTTGATGACTAGATACAATTCTGACTTATTGCCATGAACTCTAATGATTTGATCATCCCCCTACGTTTACCCCAGGTCAGTAAGGCATGACAAGAAATTGGTGAGTATGAGAGCACAAGCTAACCCTAACCAACTCTGGTGGTGCTGTGGCTTCCCAGCTGTGTCTGTCCTGGTGTGATGCCGTGGCTCATGGGGCAGGGATGCTCGGACGGAAGTGCCTGAGGGGCTCTTGCTGGGTTTGTTGAACGGGGTCACTTTCAGCAACGAGGTCATGTGATCAGTCTTTGCGATTTGCCCGATTCTTGGTTACTAGGCAGATATTTTCATAATATCGGAGTAGAATAGGGTACTATTTTGATATAAAGTATTTGGTAAGTTAAAGTTGCCAATTTCCCTAAACAATAGCTACAGTTAAGTGGATGATATACCCTTGTGTTTTAAATACTTGGGTCATGGTTATTTCTTAAACTTAAAACATTTGAGACACAGAAATACAAAGGTATATGCACATGCATGGTTGCACACATACAAACACGTGCACATGCCTGATACCTGCCATGTGCTGGTTAACTTTCCAAATGCTCTCAGTAGGAAGGCACTGGCCCAGAGTGGAGCCTAGGGTATCCTGTGTGTGCCTGATCCTTGATTGTTCACCTATTCACTCACACATTTCTTCACTAAGTATCCATCAACTCTATTTGTATGGCAATTGTTATACAGGTAATCATGATGTATAGGTGAAAAGTCACCATCAGTCATTGAGATAATCAGACGTATACATAGATTCTGACAGTTCAGGGGGATACGTCACCCCTCTGGGGAAACATGGATGTTAACAACGTCATCCCTTCCCTAAGGACTGGTCATGATCATGAAGGCAGAACTACATGAACATTAACCATCCCCGTGAGAAGAACTTGAAACATGGGGCAAGTTAGTGATAGGAACAATAGCTGTTTCTATTTTTTCAGATGCTTTAAGTGTGTGACAGGTAAGGGGCAAGCTATCGCTTCACATATATATAGCACAGTAGAACTAAATACCAGCTTTGCTGACCTGGGCAGTTACCTGACTGCTCTATGCATTGGCCATCTCTCTTGTGAAATGGGATAGTGAGATCCATTTTTTCGAATTTGTGTCAAGTGTATCAGATGATTAAGTAAGTGCTTGGGATGCCACATGGCAAGTAGAGCTCCGAAATGTCCTGGTTTGCAACACAGGGAGGGCGGCGCGTCTTTGCATGTTATAAACAGCAAGGCCTCCGTGTATCAAGTCTGTGATAGCAGAATCTTTGTTTCGATTTTTTTGTGTGATTCTAAAACCTAACCTCAAGCTTAACTTTTCAACATGCACTTAGTGGAATTAATTTCTCATCATGACAGTCTCTCGACCTCATTATGATCCTTTTAAAAAAGACGGTGAGCTCAGGTGAGTGGACACAATTGACCCAAAGTCACAATGTTAAGGAGATACGAGATAAAGTAAAAACTTTTGATTGTTGAAAATGAACCCATTCTTTTCAGTTCATCAGGCCGTCTTCTTGTATCAGTTGGGGCTGAACAGCAAGAATGAGTTACTATTTGAATTTGTTGTAATGTCTGAGGAGGACTTTTTATGTAGCAAAAATTGTTTCCAATATTCTAGATTCGACTGATATTCAGTCAACTAAAACTTTAACCTTTAAACCTATTTTTTCCAAATCTTCAAATTTAAGTTAAAATATGCAAATATATGTATTTATATAAAGTATACAAAATTCTGTTATTAAGATAGTAAATCTGTTAATAAGTGTTACCTACTTTGATTATTAGCGATTAACTTGATTTCAATAGATTATATTAATCTAAATTAAGCAGAGTACAATCAATGGATTCAACAACAAATTTAATAAAGTCCCTTTAAATATTTAAGGCTATATTTATAACTTGGCTACTAGAGCACCTAATTCTCTTAAACTTTGTAAATGTTTAACAGCATATAATAAAATTAGCAAAACCTGTCTAAACATTTGGTAACTCATAAATATAAATTACTGGACACTTCACTAATGATTTTAGATTTCTTCATCAGCAATGAATTATTTTACAGTTTTCAAATTAAAATCCTAGTTCTAGACATATCTAAATTCACAAGATTGAGATGCAGATTATCAAAAAATAAACTGCTTTTCCAACTGCACACACTTAAATGACACACAGTCTTCCAATATTCTTAAAACTTAACATAAATGACTTAATCTTGTAGGTGCGAGTAACTTCATCAACTCTAACTAGCAAAGCAAGAGATCTTGTTTCCCTCAAATAATGATCTGCAGTGTGGCATCCTGTTAAGCCATGGAGAGGTGTGCTGTGACAAGTCAGAAGACATCAAAAAGGGACGTCAAAGCAGTTCAGTCATTTCCCCTGTGCATTTAAATTGTTTTGTAGGTGGGTATTTTCTCATTAAAACAAAAGTTTTATTTATTTCAAAAGCAGAGTGACAGATGAGCGAGAGAGATAAAGACAGGCAAGGGTGTCTCCATTTGCTCGTTCACTCTCCAGTTGCCCGCAGATCTGAGCCAGGCCAGAACCGGCAGCCAGGAACCTCCTCCCAGTCATGATGCTGTGCTCTCAGGCCAGCTTCGCCTTCCCCATGCACATCAGCAGGATCTGGATCGGAAGCAGAGCAGCCACTCAGCTAGGGATGCTGGATGGACCCGCTGTGCCTCAATGCCAGTCCCTGAAGGTGGACAGGAATCTGAAGCAAGCCATTTCACAAAACACTTAGAACTTTTCACTGAAACGACATATGACTATTAAGGTTAAGTAGAGAGCAAATGGGTTATTATTATTACTTTAAAAAAATCTTCCTGAAACCCAGGGTCTCATAGCCACTCTAGCCATCTCTAAAAGGGAGATTTCCTATACGTTAAGGCAACGTGTCCTTAGCAGTTGGCTACTGGCCCTACAGTCAATATTGTTAGAGGGCAAACACACTCCTTACACTCCTTAGGGTGGAGCCCGGAATAAGCAGAGATG